TCCTTTAGCAGGACTTGAAATTATTGAAATAAGTTTTGGTATTCTCTGAAAATTCGGTAAATTGTTCCTTCACTTTTTCATGGGAGTGTTTCATTTCAAAATTAATATCAAGAATGTTCTTTTCCAATTCTACTGATTTCTTATCACAATTACCACTTCCAGTCATTGCCTCCTTCAATTCAATACCTCTCTTGAAAGCATGAGCAGATTCTAAATAATCCCCACAATGATACAATGCCACACCATAAACAAAATTCCACACATAGGTCGCATCCAAACTCTCATCCAAATGCAATGCAAGTTTGATATCCTCCAAAGCTCCCTCATATTTCATAGCAGCCAATCTCACCACAGCTCTCTGCACATGCAATCTGGCAACTTGTGGATCTTGTGTAGTGTCGGCCTTGATCTTTCCTTCCAATTTACTCTCAGCAATTAATTGTTTTCGGAATAAAATCTTCTCCTTCAAGTCCTTTGAAATATGACTCACTCCACTCTCAATCTTTTCATTATTCTTTCTGATGCTAACATCAATGGAATGAACCAAATTGATGACCCGAGAAACAGCTAACATTCCCACTCCTAAAGGAAAGAAGAGAATGAGAAGAGGTCCTGAAATTGGTGAGCCACACATGTTGTTTCTTGACTTTAGATAACGATGATGAATTTGGTGTTTATAATAAACAGGTGATAGATACCAAAATCCTGGTTTTCAACGTTTTTTTTTGAAGAAATACTGGAACTACGCATCACCAAGTTCATCACAGTAAAAATTCTGATGCAAATATACATTCACATTACCTCTTTCTTAAATGACCAAAATGGAGAATGCTCAAGGTCTTTTCTTATTGATTACACTCAAGTAAATCCCTAATACAATTCAGTTTTGAGATAGGATATGAAGATGAAACATGAAGGATTGTATTGTGGTTGATTAATAAATTTTAATTAAGAGGTAGCTCAATATGAACTCTATCCTTAATAATGAAATATTGAGCAACTTGGAACTTGCAGCATCTACTAAATCAAAGTGAGTCTGTTATCACCAGACATATGTGAACAATTTAGTTTAAATCTCAAACAATGAAAGAAAATATTAATCCCATATTCGAACCTATACTAATACCAAAGAGCAAGAAAAAGGTCATCATTGTTCCAGCAATTTCCTTCTCGTTATTCTCTACACACTGAGGAGCAAACATCATCAATAATGAGCACAAGTAACCATTCGAAATTGAGACAAGGAAAATTGAAAAGAGTGGGAAGGCGTCGTAAACATAATCATTATAACCAAATAGGCTAGGTCTATAATAAAATAAAAAGAGTGGTACGAAAAATACTCTCAATAACACTGGAATG